TTATTATTATTATTATTATTATTATTATTATTATTATTATTATTATTATTATCTAATTTTAAAAATACAACAGTACTATTTAATTACTGCGACTTTCTACACGGGTGATACCTTTTTTGGTCTTCAACGATTCCGTTAAAACTTCGAGGTAAATTTCCATCGACTGCATCTGTTCATTGGTTTTATGAACAAATACAGTAGATGAACAGTTAGGAACCCATCAACCTTAAAGCCACCATAAACGAATGTATTTTGTTTGATGAATGTTTTAAAATAGAACCTGAAGGACTCACGAAATTGAGAGGGTGCGTTAAGGTGCATGCCCACCAGAGTGTTAACACTCTCGCTAGTTTGTGTCGAGTGTGTTTCATGCCATTGGACATAGTTCTGGGAGTAGGCAACAAGCAGAGGTGCCATGGTCGTGGAGCGCGGTCTCCATCTAAACTACTCGCTAGTAGGGACGTGCCTTTACAGCTAAACAGTTATTTCTTAACCGTTAACATTTTGTTACCGATATGCGAAATACGTTTATTTCGTTTATCCTGTTATTGGTTGTTATCGGTTGAAATTCATAGTATTGCAATGTATTGGATCACACCGAAACTAAGCTTTCGTGGCAACTATATTGTATGATAAGTTCACTTCAGCTAATCAATCGTTATTAGCAAGTGTTCATATTATAGATTCGTTAATAAAACGTTCGTCATTAGTACATATCATGTGCCACAATATATTTATATTTTATTGTACACACTACAATAAAAGTTTGTTCTTTAAATTAAATCTGTCCAATATTATTGTTAACTTCATTCTTTCCCATTACTGCTGATGTGAGATCCCCTAATATTTTACTAAGTCCGATAAATTAAAACGAGGTGTGGTCAAGTAAATCGCATTATTTTTTAGATATTCAACCGTCATTACCACTTTAGCTGTAGGTAAGCAAAAACAATATTTTCCCCTTCTCATTATTTCTGACATTCGTTACGTCTCTACGCACAAGTTGTCTATTCGAAAGAATATTTGCAATCTGAATTCAAATCGTGAATTACGAATCAGTGTAATTTTAGTTATATTTTATACACATTTGCTACTCATTGTATCAGTTACTATGCTTTCTTGGAAGTTCATTCAGTGTCGTTCATATCAGCTGTTTCTCCGTCCAAACATGTTTGGTGAAGTAGTGCAAACAAACGCCGTGAGGTTGCTGTAAAAGCTTCACGGTGCTACCAACGTTACTCGTTTTGTCAGATTTAACTCGTAGCAGTCCGATCATTGACGTGTTATTTTTCAACTGTTATTAATAACAGTTGTTACGAGTCGACTATTTTTCCGATAACAGCAATTGAAGAAAAGCTGATAATCTCATCTCTACTCGCTAGTGGCCAGAGTATTGCGAGCTTCTCTGACAACCAGCTCGCGCTAGTTACTCTCTAGAGGACGCACCTTTACAAGAGGCCTCTGCGCTCTCGCTCTCGTGTGCGGCGCTGCGGCGCCGGCCGCGAAGTTCGCGTTGGAGCGCCTCGGGAGTGCGTCTGGCAGGTGCTCGTCGGCCGATCGGGGTCAACGCTCTTAACCGCTCGCCCACCCGCCCGCAACACCCTCGCGCTTACGTTATCATTTTTTTTATTTTTTATTTTTTAAATCTCGCACAAAAGCCAATTAACAAGCTCGGCGGCCGCGGGGGCCGGGTCGGGTCAGGTCGGGTCGGCGGCGGTGGAGGGCCGAGCGCTATTGACAGGTGCGAAACAAAAGAGATCCGCTACTG